TTAATGGTGGGTTTCCCTAACAAATAACAAGGAGAGCACGCAAAAGTATTTTTCTTTGTTAAAAAATACTTACTAGCTATAGTTACAAGTCAATTTGCCCAACTAATATTTTCCCTAATATTGTTGGAAAATTACTGTGTTTAATTTCCGGTTTAATTTGTACCAAGTAGATTCCCAATCAATCCCTACCTCCAGATCACAGCAAGCACACAAATCATTCAGTTCAGCTAGCAAAAAATACAACTTGAGGTTTATTTATTCAGTTGGCAAAAGGGGATTGAAAACAATAGAAAAGCAGCAAGATAAACAAGAATTAAAAGAGCAGTTTGTTAATATCAACAATCTACGGTATATCTATTTATATATCAAAAAGGCACAGAACTTCCCAATATGAACACAATACAGTGTGTGATTAGCATTAGCCCCAGTGAGAGTGAATAGTCTTTGGTCATTCCAAACTTTTTTAATTTATTCTTTTATTACCTTGAAAAGTGGGCAAGTAGGGCTGTAAGGGCCAGCGCCCACCACTCATCTGAGTCAGGCTGCGCATGCATGCACGTGAGCTGGCAAGCTGCTTAGGTGGCCTGATTGAAAATAGGCCATGGTCCAGTACTGGCCGCTGCCCACAGATTGGGGGCCCCTGCTATAAACCACTAAATCTAAGTGCTATATGTTTCTAATATATTTATATATGTGTCATATATTTAAGCTACTGCATTTTGTATAAATGAGTCCCATATTTCATATTTGTCCATACGAAATCTTTGTCCATAGAAAATCCACTCATAGGCAGCAAGTACAATCAAGTCTTCAATCCGCTGAGTGAAAGGAGCCATACATTAACCTTTTCAGTGCTGAAATATCAGTCTTTTGACCATGGTAAGAACACGGAAAATCCATTTATGCTGTCCAGTTGTTAAATTCCAAGCACTGGGGGTATATAGGTCAAAATAATGTTATCATATGAAAAAGTCCCAGTTTAACTCTTCTATGTACAAAGCAGTAGCAGATGAAAACCGGGGCTTCTCTTCCTGCACCAATAAAGAAGGCTGGAAGCATATGCAACAATATACATATGTGTGCATTGAAAACAATAAGGGAAATGATATGGGGGTGGGGGGCAGCAGCAGCAACCTCAGATCTACATGTGACATGGCCTGTATGCAGATTTAGGGAGAAGGCACCAGTTTAAATTATTGTTTTTTCCCATGTTGCACTGCTAACTGCTCTCCAGTTTAATAGCAAATCCACGATCACCCAGCAAGGCTCTTTGGGATGGATGTTAGTATAATATTCTTAATCCACTGTTAAGACAATTTCTCAACCTAATATAATGACTTATCCTCAGACAGCTAAACTAATGTAAGCAAAGAAAATATTTTCTTATGCTTTCCTGAATGTGGCCTGCAATAGAAAGAAACATTGCTGCCTTCCTAAGGAATAAAACTGGGGAAATGGAAACAAGGTGCACTGTTTAGCCAAACGTAAACACTTTTAATGCTCAGCAGGATCTGTCAATGAGATGTGGTATGAGGTTCTAGTATGCACCCTGGTAATATTGTCATTTATGCAATATAAGATATTATGGATTCAAAGTACTGCTTAATCATGATTAAATTATGTATGTTTATAAAATAGTGATGAAATTTACAGGACATGACAGCACACTTGAAAGGTATTAAATTAAATTGCCCAGCTCACAATCAATTTAATACATCTTGAACCTTTATCACCAGTGCTCTAACAGGAAAAGCACGAACTGTTTCTTCCTTGAGAACTGCTCAAAGGTATTTATCAGTGACTTGCACACCTGCATAAGAATCACTTTCCTCAATCTTGATGTTCTTCTATTCCATTAGAATAAAAAACCAGCAATTATTTTTTAGAGGGGAGGAAACAAGCCATAGTTCCAGAGATGAAAGATGTTTTCAAGGATAAACAATAGGAAAGACCATAAATGTTTAATTTTTAACAAAATTTGGGAGGTAAACAGCAAGATACCCCGATGTGCTCTGTTCAAAGACACTGTGTTTCACATATTCATTGATACCCTGAAGGAATACAGAGAGCTACTGCATAGCTTTTACTGCATAAGTGGCAGATTAGGCAAAATTATTCAAGATAATGACTACAGCAGACTAGCATTATTAAAGATTTCTAATGCAATGGCAGTTTAAAATAAATGTGGTAGAATTTAGTAATTTCTACTGTACAGATGGGGTTCTAACTGTGTTGCATGTACTGCTAATTCCGGCTAGCTGTTGAATTTCTCCATTGTGGCTATCTTGTTGGACAGATCTTGATGTAACTCAGCTACCCAAAGGACAAACAGAATTGGAGGACGCATATATATATATGACATGACCTTATACATCTGCTTAATAGTTATTTCAAGTATGTATACAAACATTGTAAATAAAAATATATAGTTGAATATTCTCTAAGTAAAACAAGGTATAAAATCTACTCAATAGCTGATTTTTCTCAATAACTGAAGAAGAGTGGAAGTAAAGGATTTGTTTTTTAAAATACCTATGACTTGGAAGGAAATATTGTAAAGACAAGGATCCAAATAGGCATTTTTTGTTTTTACTTTCTAAAGCTACTATATTTTTCCTGCAGCTGGAGACAACTGTCACTTGCAACTCACTGATGAAAAAACATCTTGATGTTGTTGATTTGTCTTCTCCTAATAGTTTACTGTTATTTTCTTTCCAAAGTTGGGAAAGTTTTGCTGAGCAAGAAACAATCACATCACATGCTTTGTTCATTCTCCTAATGTCAAAACATAACCATGTCAAGCAATTCACAAGCCTCTGGAGATCAAGCAAAGCAGAAGGGCTATCAGATCCTTTTAAAGAAAAATATTGTGGGAACAATTGACATAGCAGATTCAAAGGTGAAAGATATTCAAATCACTTGGAAATATGCAAAATAGAAAATACACAGTATAGATCAGGGGTGTCAAAATAGCAGCCGACAGGCTGAATGTGTCATGCACAGGCCACATCCATCCCAGCTCCGCAAAGTGAAGAACATCGCAAAATGCCACGTGATGGCATGAGTTTGACACTTGTAGTATAGATAAACTATTGTAATGGGGGGTGGGAAATCAGCATAGATATGGAAATACATATGAGGATGGCATTCTAAGACCTTACCAATTTCGATGCTTTAATTTTTTTTGTTGGAAAAGTCATATACATCATTTCAAGTGAAACAGTAAAACAAGGATGATTATAACTTACTCTAAAAAATCTTGTTACATTAAGAAGATATAGAGCAGAAAGCCATTCCTCACATTATTTTCAGGGAAGGTATGGAGGAATAGAGGCAAATAGTAATCCCAAATTATGAACTTCTTCTAGATTATTTAATAATAATTACTGAATCCTAATGATATTGACATCCCAAAGAACAAAAACACTTTGAAATTATTGAGCTAAGATAAGATATGTTATGTGACTAAGATTGATCTCTTGGACAATATGACAACAGCAGGAATACAATTAACTACCAGTAACTTTTTTTTCTGTTACAGATCAATAGTGGTATTTTTTTATGGAGAATTGTAGCTTTTCCCTGGTGTGTTTTCAATGATTAATGTATGTTTAAGCCATGGACTTCATAAACGTTCTAGAATTAGGTGAACACTGAGATGACCAAGTCTGTTGAGGTCAGATGAGGTCAGAACTAGAATCTTGGGGAGGGGAATTCACCAAATTAGAAAAATAGCCATTAAAATGGATAATTCAGTTCAATATAAGCCTTGTCCAAAAGCCACTTTTATATTAACAGAGCAAATTTTAGTTTAATTTAATTATATTGTATCTGTGTTCATTTATATATTCTAAAAGACATGTTCTTCACTTACCAAGTGATAATTTTACTTGCATAAATTCACTTTATGCAATGTTTACCAGAAAGCAGAAATACCACAAAAATAGAACTACTTATAAATTCTTTTGATGCTGTTGAAGAAGTCATTAAAAAAAATTAATGAAATACAAAAAGTAATCGAACGAAAAGAAAACACAAATTTATAAAGAGGGAAAAGCTACACAAATAAATATACAAGACATATATTTACAAACATACATATAACAATATATTGGGCCCATGATTTATTACAGTCATCCACAGCTGATCTATATTTATTCACTTATTTATGAAATGTATTTGCTACCCAGCTCATAGCCAACTACCCTGGGAAGCTTACTGCATAACTGTAAATTGATATTAATCAATTCGGTGAAATAGATGGAGCCATACAGTATGTTGTTTTTCCAATGCTGAATAGTGAAGCACTTTTAACTGCCTGGACTGATCTCTGCAGTTCTCTAGGCCAGGGGTCTCCAACCTTGACAACTTTAAACCTGGAAGACTTCAATTCCCAGAATTCCCCAGCCAGCAAAGGGGAATTCTGGTAGTTGAAGTCCCCCAGGCTTAAAGTTGCCAAGGTTGGAGACCCCTGCTCTAGGCAACATTTTCAGAAATGGCTTGTGATTGCCCTTTTCCTATGGCTGAGAGAGAATGACTGGCCTAAAGTCACCCAGCTGACTTTATGCCTAAAACAGTACTAGAAGTCATGGTCTCCCAGTTTCTAGCCTGGTCTCTTAACAACTACATCTTCTCAATCATTTTTTATAAGTCTCATTTTATGCTCTACTAAAAAATCATAACACCCTGAATGGCTTGATCACAGTCCTCTATTCTCTAATCACTCTTTAAAAATACTGTATTTTTTATCCTGCCTTTATTATTTTTATAAATAACTCAAAGCAGAGAACATACCTAATACTCCTCCTCCTCCTCTTCCTATTTTTCCACCAAGAGCCCTTTGAGTTGAGTTGGGATGATAGAGTGACTGACCCAAGGTCACCCAGCTAGTTTTCATGCCTAAGGTAGGATTGGAACTCACAGTCTTCTGGTTTCTATCCCAAGGACTTAACTTGACCAATCAAGGCACAATATGCAACTAAGAAAATAGGATACCAAACCTGTGGTGCCTAGTATCATGGATGGCACGGTCACTAGGCATCCGTTCACTCTCCCGTTGGTTAAAGGCATACAATCGATATGGGTCCTCTCCACCTTTCCATCGCCGAACACTCAGATATTTTCTTTCTTCAAATTGATCCCAAAGATCATCCCAATCAATGTCGGAATCCTGTTCATGTATAAACATAGATTCCATAAGGAAAATAAAAAGTTGAAACTGAATGGTCACGCTTTTCTTTTCTTTATAACTTAACTTGCTTGGACTGCTTTGAACAAAGATAGGCTTTTTGAAAACTAAATATTTATAATATAATAATATACAAATATGACAGTTATCATGTTCTTATCATGTAGAACATCATCATTTCAAAAATAAGATTATGCATTTGAAAATGCCTATTTTTCCCCCTTTAAATTAAAGAAAGTGCACACAGATTCATCTTGCATTGTGAGGACCGATCACTAGTTTGCATTATGGCATATGATTGTGGCTGCAAAACAGAATGCATTATACTGATGTTTGAGGTCAACATAACTCAAATTTAATCAGCTGAAGATCGAATGCACGTAAATCTGTTGAATCAATTCAGGGGACATTTTGAACATAGCCACAAACAGGATTAGGAAAGAAATCTGTTTTTGTCACATTTTATATGACACAGCCTAATTTCTACTTCCTAACCTAACTGTAGACCTGAATGTAATTACCTTTCAATTTTTGCATTTCCAGATTTTGTGAAGATTAGGAAACACTAAACTATATACATTTTTGTATGTATTCTCGTGATATCTTTTTTCTTTTCCTGTATTACATCCAGACTATATAGCACATAAATAGAAGAAATATAATGTATATAAATTAAAATGCAATGTGCATAAAATAATTCACCAACCAGGGATATCCATTGGAGAGGGCAAAAACAGTCCCACTTATAAAAAAAAAAAAGACCAATGCAATTAGCAATTGATCCTTTCAATCCAAAAGAAGTCAAAGCCATGATTATACAAAAACCACAGTAAAAAGAATCAAAATGTTTGCATACTATAAAGTATAAGAAACATTCCAGGTGAGAAAAATCTACTTTCATGTGGCTACCAACAACTTGCAGAGAGAGGAGCATCGCTAGTACAAAACCAGAGAATAAATATTAATGGTACTTTATTTTAGACTGCTATGAAGAAGTACCAAATCACCAAGTGATTTCTCGGTATCTATTAGGTAGTGAACTTAAATAAATTTTTCACTGTCCTTAAACTCTGGATCCAATCCAGCCTACACATCCTCTCTAGAAGCTTGCTCCTTCTAGTAGCTATATTTGATTTTTCTTTTTGTTGTTGTTGATGGTTGAGTTTAATTGATTTTCACAGAATATCCATAAAATACTACTACTGAGACAGAATTTAGATGAAAAGGTACACAAGAAAAACTTCTAATAAATCATGCTAAAGAACAGTGTTTTAGTCTCACTTTTTCCTAAATGTCTCAGCCATAGGCCCTATAGTCACATTCCCAGGAGCTGTCCTTAGTATACCATGTCATATTTATTCACTGAACAAACTGGCCTTTTGCTTAGAATCAAGTGAATACAATGTTTTTTTTCCTCTGTTTTAATGAAGTACATACAATACGTCCCAATTAAAATCATATCATTATAGAAACACAATATCTTTGATTGCAATTTGTTTTTGCTATGGGCAGATTCAAAATCTATAGAATTATTTTGAAACCCCCAAAAGTCACCTTACTAATAATTGATCTTTTATTTATTATTACTGCCATATGCAAGAACCTTCTGCCTTCTAATGATATCAAGCAATTTTATTTCATAACTTTTATTTCATAACTTCATTCATAGCACATTTTATGTAATAAAAGAAAGGGAGTGAGAAAGTGATGGCACCAATAAATACAATAAATACATTGCATGTCCCAATGATTCATCTGCATTCATGGAGCTGATTTAAATACTGTAAAATATTGTAGTTTAGTAATGGCTAGATCCCACTTCAGCTTTATTTTAAAAAAAAAAAAAACCTCCTTTACAAACAACACAAGTGCAGAGTTAGATATTGAAACATATGTGTGATTACCCTTATCTCCATGATTGCAGGTTGTATTTAATTATTTTTCAGAGGAATTTTATTACATCCTACCAAAGCCATGCTGATTATCAATCTGTGATCCACTTAACAGAGTCTTCTTTAAAAACCTCACTGAAATAATTAGAACTCATAGAAACCCTCCACTGAGTCATCAAGAGTCAAAGTGACTTAGTCCCTATGCAATGACTCCCAGAAACCCAATAATATTAAATGAACATAGAAGCAGATATAATCTTAAAAACTTCAGGATTAATCCCCACTTAATCATGAAGCTCACCCTAGCTAACTTTCTGACCTCACAGAATTGCTGTAAAAATTATTTTCCAAAAACACCCCAGGCAAACTCTTGTGCAAGTCAAGCTGAGTGTGCATATGTGTACCACCCTGCCACTCACATGGCCCAGTACTGGGACACAGCCTGAGAGTTGGGGATCCCTACTCTAGGATTTCCATTTATGGAATCTTCCTACTCCATCTCTTATTTTGTTGAAGTCATCTCTCTTAAAATCTAAAACATTAGACTGACTTTGTTCAGTTTCCTTTGCCTACTTTATAGTGAATTCTAGAATGACATGCTCATTCTCTCCCAAAGCTCCCATTACTTTCACTTCATCAACCATGTTGTCGCTATTAGTTAAGTCCACTATAGTTGACCCTCTAGTTCCTTCCTCCATCTTTTGGAGGATAAAATTATCAGCTAAGCTTATCAGGAACCTGTTTGATCTCCCACTCATTGCAGACTTTGATCCCCAGTTGATTTCAGGGTAAAGTCCCCCATTACTACAATGTTGTGTGTTTCCTGCACACTTCAGGTAACTAATTTGCAAAAGGTTCATCTATTTCTTATGCTCAGTCGGATGCTCTATAGTACAACATCTATAACAACATATCTGTAATTACCCCTAATATTCACCCAAATTCATTCAAGGTTTTCATCCTTGCTATCATGTATTTCTGTACAGCTATAGTAATTCTTTACATACAGTGCAATTCCTCTTCCTCTAATGTTGAGTCTGCTTCTTTTGAACAAATTATATTCTCCCAGTACTATATTCCAATCATGGGTTCCATCCAAGCAAATTTCAGTAACAGCAACAATATAATACCTGCCTTCATATACTAGGACTTCAAATCCTCCTTGTTTGCTCCCCATACTTTGAGCATTAGTGTACAGCATAGGTAGTATTCAGCAGGTTCTGACCAGTTCTGGAGAACTAGCAGCAGAAATTTTGAATAGTTTGGAGAACCGGCAAATACCACCTCTGACTGGCCCCACCCCCACCTATTCTCTGCCTCCCGAGTCTCAGCTGATCGGCTGAGTTTTCTTTTGATGCCCTGCACAAGAGAGCTGGAAATCAGGTTAGTGGCGTGGGGTGGGGAGGGAATGGAGATTTTACAGTATCCTTCCTTGCCTCACCCATCAAGCCATGCCATGCACACCAAGCCACGTCACACCCACCAAGCCACACCCACAGAACCGGTAATAAAAAATGTTGAATCCCACCAGTGGTATACAGCCCTTTGTGACTGATCCTAAATTTGCTTGCTGTGTTCCCTGTTTTATATGAGCCTTTGTATTTAAAAAGTTGAACCACTGATAACTCAGAATAATATGATAAGATTATGCAGAGACAAATCAGCAGACTGGTGGAATATCGGAAAAATGATTTATCTCCTTGATGATCAGCACAGGATAGGTTGCAAAGGAGGAGGAACTCAATCTCTCCATCATCAGCCCATGCATATTAGTAATCATTCAGCAATGCATGTTATTATACACACTTTATCATCATCATCATCATTCTCCAGATGCTAATCTGGAGGTTACTTCTAAATTTATTTCTCTCAACAGTTATATGCTGCAGAGCAGCCTGAGAATGAATGACTGATTCAAAATCACCCCTTGAATTCCATGGTCAAATAGGGACTTGAAACAGAGACTCCCCAATCCATGACCAGTATTTTAACTTCTATGTTACCTTGGCTCTGTGCATGCATTACGGTTTTCCAAAAGAAGCAGAGCCACAGTTCCACTGGTAGTCTCAAGTCAGGCACAAGGCTTACTTTCTCCTGTATTGAGTAACAATGAGTGGCTATAAATTGTTCCCCCTAAAAGGAAAAGTAAATTACTGCATTTGGGTCCTAGACTGAGGAAGAAACAAAATAGTATTGTTTGATAAGGAAAGCCAGCCTATTCAACACATATTCATTGCATCAGAGTAATTCACATCTCACTAATAAAACTAAACAAAATGTCCATCAGGTCTACAACAGCAATATTTCTTGTTTATAAATAGTTACAGTAACAGTAGGCAGGCCTGAGAGTTTTCATCTTGGATGTGGTTTGATAACTTCTTATTTGTCCAGCTTTTATATCTCAATTTTATTACCAGCAGTTTTGCAAAACGCAGAAAAGCTCTGACTTGTCTTCATATCCCAAGGCAAGTTTGTAATAGAAGGGAACATTTTTTGACTCATAGATTGCACATATTTGACAGCAAGAATAAATATGAACTGTCACTATGTCATCTTCATTCTTATATCTTCATAATTGCCTCTACTGTCACAGATGAAAATAATCGGGATTTGATATTAACTTGAACCAATGATTTTAAACTGACCCACTGTCTGGATTCATCCTATTCCATAAGTTGTCCCAAAGATGCTTTTTCAAGAGGTAGACTTTCTTGTTTTTCTTTGAAAACATTTAGCTTTTCATCCAAGAAGCTTCTTCAGCTCTGACTGAACATTGGGGAATGGAAAGAGTTGTACTCCTTGCAGACAGCTGGTTATTTGCATTCTGACAACACAGATTAACCTCCAGGTGGCCTCAATAACTCTCCAAAAGAATGCAAATGACCAGTTGTCTGTGTTAGTTATTGGGGACAAACCCCCCAAAAAACAGAATGTGCAGCAGCAGTCAAGCCAGGCAGCCAAATGAGAGAGGAAGGGCCCTAGAGTTTACACACACTGATGACAAAAAACTGTTTTGTAGTTTAAATAGTTGTTTAATCCTATTAGAGTTTAAACATTGTCAATCAGTCCATATGTCATTCACAAATATAT